CAGCCCTTTATCTTCTTGCAGTCAATCCAGTTATATGTACTCAATTATGAAGAAACAGTGGTTTTAATTTTTTAATAATCTAGGGGAATAGCATTTCTCCGGTCCCTTCTGTCTCTAATTTATGTCTTAAGCTACAGTTGGGTATAGAAAATTCAAAAACTTTCCTGAGATGGTACACTGGGATCAATGCCTGGACTAGAACTGCCTGCTTCTTCTTGCAGTCAATCCAGTTATATGTACTCAATTATGAAGAAACAGTGGTTTTAATTTTTTAATAATCTAGGGGAATAGCATTTCTCCGGTCCCTTCTGTCTCTAATTTATGTCTTAAGCTACAGTTGGGTATAGAAAATTCAAAAACTTTCCTGAGATGGTACACTGGGATCAATGCCTGGACTAGAACTGCCTGCTTCCAGTCACTGCCTCCACTGCTAGCTGGACTAGTAGTCAGGTGGGGATTGGTCTTTTCTCCCAGGCAACCAGCAGTAGGACAAGAGGGCACAGACTCAAGCTCTGCCAGGGGAGATTTAGGTTAGATATTAGGAAGAGATTTTTTTATGGAGAGAGCAATCAGGCATTGGAATGGGCTGCCCGGGGAGGTGGTGGGTTCACTGTCACTGGAGGTTTTCAAGATGAGACTGGATGTGGCACTTAGTGCCGTGGTCTAGTAACCACGGTAGGGTTGGACTTGATGATCTTGGAGGTCTTTTCCAACCCAGCTGATTCTATGATTCTGTGATTCTATGACTTTGGCAAAATGGCTTGGCCTGTCATTAATTTCCCCCATTTATAACATGGCATTGCCAAGTGTGTTATTGCCAGACATTAGAAGTCTTGAGTACATATACTTAGTCATTTCTTTATTCATAAGAGTACATTTTTGAAAAAAAAAAACCAAACTATTAGGCTAACTTGATGTTTGTTTCATCAGTCTCATTCCTAGAAACTTGCTACTGTTCCTCGAATCTTACTTTAAGTTCAGCGAGCACATGGATAAAGTCTTCAGTCAGAAGAAAAAGGATTGAAACCAAAATATTCTGAAGATCTCAAGTTCCACCTAATTGAACATTTTCAGTAAAAAATTCTATATCATGTTTATTCTTTGCCAGAAAATTTACTCATATGATATTTGACATTATTCAACATGCAATTTCATGCTTCATAACTGCCTTTTAATCACTGATTTTTAGCCACAAGCCACTTTCTCATTTCATGACTGCATGCTGCTTTTATCTGAGGTCTCAATAAAAGTCAGTAAGACCAAGCAGGGATGTTTGACTTCATTTCATACACTGAATTCTCAATTTCTGATCAAAATCTTAAAGCACAAAAAAAAACGTGCCACTCTTCACACAGAAAGAAAAAAATAAACCACAAAGCATTTAACATATTTCCCTTTTAGGGTCAAAATAGCGCTGCAGTTCTTACAAAGCCGACAGGAGGAAGGATGCTGTGGGATGATGGGCTCTGGCTGGTGAGCTGCTTGGGGAGCCTGTGTCCTGGACAGGAATGAGCTGCAATGTGTGCTGATAAAGTGTGTGCAGTGCTGTGGCACTTGCTGTGCTCCTGGTTGGTCACAGCCCACTTCACTAGACACTGTTCTGTGGGACGTGTGCCTCAGTTTTAATCCATGGCTCGAGGCTGGTACCAGATCATTTATCAAAAGCTGTAGCTTAGAAAGAGCATTTGTAAAACTAGCAGTGGCAAAGCATCATATGCCTACTCAGAAAGGACAGATGATGAAGCCCTGCAATCAGAGGCAGCAGACAGGAAAAAAATCATTCTAGAAATTACTTATGTGGTAATTAGTTGTCTCTATAAATTTTGTAAAATGTTCCAACAAAATAGTCAGAGTTTATAAACATAGGCTCCGTTGTGAGCATCTGCTGTAGGCAGCTGTGTGTGGAGCACCAGTGAAGCCCACAGGCATTTGGCTGCCTTCCCTCACCCTAAAGGCTCTGATGCAGCTCAGAAGCACCATGCTGAGGCAGGCTAAGTGTGTTCAAGATGTTGTGTCCCAGGCTAGGTCTCTGAAGACAGCAGTTGAATCTGGACCTGTAAACTGGTCCAAACAGTTGTTTTAAGTTCCAGTGACCTTAGTAAAATTACTCAGAAAATTGTTGATTTAAGAGGAATTTGTGCAGTAAGTAGTTCCTCACTACTTGATTGTGAGGAATCTGTGCAATTTGGCAATTTTCTGAGTAACTTTTGAAAAATCATTAAAATTACATAGATATTATGTTAAGTGATCAAGCATCAACTTTGCATGGACTGTGTTAGTGAAACTTGAATGAGGTAGCCTGTTTGTTAGTGTGGAACATAATGCTGGGGAAAGGAATATAGACAGGAGGAATACCTCGTGTATTCTTGAACAATTGTGGGCTGGCTCTTGGGCAAAATCTCTTCTTCTGTTTGGAGAGAAGTCACACCCATGTCCTTCAACTGTCTTTAATTGAAATTACAACGTAAAGATACTAAAGGAAAGAAAACCTCCCCAAGAGCAGAAATTCAAAGACTGGTTACAACAAAAGTAGGTGCTGGTAATTCATTGATAATAATAAATCCTCATGTAAGTTTTCAGAAAAAGCTAACATAAAATGTCCAAAGTTTCCTTAATTTAAAATAAATAAATAAATAAATAAATAAATTGCAGACCAGAATAGTGACTCTACAAAACCTATTTTATAAAACTCCACTATAAGGAATTAAAGAGAACCGTGTACAGTCATCTACTGCCTACATTTGCCACCATATTTCAATTGTACTTAACTAACCCCATACTTAGAAGGTCCCTTCTAGCTACAGATGTATATAAGGGTGCATGCTCCAATGAAAGCACTTTTTTGAAATCCCAGTGTTTTCAAAGTATGCATGCATTCAGTCAGTTCTTTCATGTACCCTGTTAGATATTACAATGAAACTTCTAGCTGAGAGAGGAAGAAGGCTATCTGAAGTTTGGCTCTTTGGCAAGCAAGGTTTATTGATTCATATTTTGAAAAACTCTCTAAGTGATGAGTAATTGAAATACCATTTTCTTCCTACTGATGAGACAGGAACAAAATCAAAATTGCTCCTTAAAAATAATGATCTCTTTCTCAATTGCAAGTAAGTATGTTGAATATTGAGATTCTCTTATTCTGCATGACTGTTACAATTTGACTCTAAATCTGATTGTTTTTAAGTATGATTACAGCAGACAATGCAAACTGACATGACAGTAGTATTATTTGTGAATGGGTTGTGGGCCTGAATATCTTAATGCATAATTTCATTGCTGGTGCAGCAGAGCTTAAGAACAAAGCTCACAGGGTGAGAGGAACGCATTTTAAAATGCTTTGTAAAATGAGACTTCCACTTGAAGTAGTGTCACCTGTTAGTGACATTAATATTTGGGGGACTAGCCATCTTTTAAAATCTGGGGTTCCAGGATGAAATATTTGCAGCCACAGAGCACATTGTAAGGACTCTCTTTTCAGGACCTTTTTCTTATTTTCAGCTTCTTTACCTAAAGTATATTAACCTTACCACCTGCATTTGCAGTTGAAGGTTTACCAACCACATAGACAGGACGTGAGTAGATTAAGAATAATGTAAAGGAAGTGCTTGATTTTCTGAGCCATAATTCACCTGTTCTGCACAGCCACCCTGCAAAACCTAATTCTGTACTGCTGCAATCTCAGCCAAGGGCACTATTTGGCTCCATGGGTTTTTTTCAGGCTAATCTGCTTGTCTCAAGAAGGAATTTGTAAAGCTTAGACTTTCTAAGTCTCACAGTGATCTGTTAGATCTTATCTGCCCTAGAAATCAATAACTCATTATTTTCTATGAAAATACCAGGAAAACAGTTTAGGCTTTGGGGTGGGGTTTTTTGGGTTTTGGAGGAGCGGAGGGTTCTTTTTTTTTTTTTTTTTTTACAGACTAGAAGTGCGATAAATCCTGTAACACAATTCTAAAACTGCAAGACAAGAATTTCCTATTAAAGTCCTGAAGATGCAATCAGATGCTATTCCTGTTTTTTAATATAAATTATCTTTTGCATTTTGAAATATAGTGTGCCACTTACGAAGTATCTCAGAGTTAACAACTCCTGAGAAATGAGCCCTTTCCTTCTTTGAAGCTTTCATCTTATTTGTATTTCCTCCATGCAAAACCATTTTTACACTATTTTACTACTGAAGCTGCAAATGAGACTGAAAGGCAGTTTATCTTCATTTTTTCTCCTTTGGGAGCACTCCGTGTTCTCTGTGAAACTGATGAGGAAGAGTCAAGCAGATTAGGCAGATTAGACATGGACTGAAACTACCTGTGTTGCTGCATCAGTAATGAGATAATTTGTGATGTCAGCTAAAATACGGTTTCTTGCTGTTGTTTTATACCCATTGGTATTGCATACCTCTTCAGAGTAGTTGTAGCACCAGGTATCCTATGAAGAACATTAATCGTGTTCAAATTCTAAGCATTTTGAGAAAGGAACACTTGAACAATGCTGGGTCACCTTGTAATCTAACAAAAAAATTTAACTAAAATTTAGAGACAACCATATGCAACTTTGATTTGTCATCAATTTCTGTAACTACTTGGATATTTCGGCGCCACTCCGTGACAGCCTCTGAGCAACTAAGTGAGGGTTCAGGTGGTTTGCTTGGTACCTGGAACCCTGTGGCTCCTTAACTCCCAGAGCATGAAGAGAGACAGAGGCTCACAATAGCACCTTGTCCCATTAAGCCCCCTGGTTGGATAGCTCAGTGCAACTTAGTTCCCACCCTGCAATATTTGAAGTCTTTTTCACAAGTAACTTGTGTCTTCTTCTTAGCCTCTGTCTGGAAAGATGTTTAGTCCCCAATTCCCACAGGTAATGGCACAAATGTGGAGGGATAGACTTGGAGCTGAAAGTCAGGAAATTCACTGTTCCTCTGTCACTGCCTTTGTCTTAGACCTTATTTGTACCCTGTGAAACACAAAAATTAGTGAAAGTTGCATAAAGTATGTAAAAATGTATTGTCCCTGTTTTCCACCATTACAAGTCCTGAGAAAAGGAGGCTTCATGCTTACACAATTTTTCATGGCAACCGGAAATAGAATTTCCATCTCTTTACTATTACATGTAAATAAGTGTTATTACCTTATATATTGTCTGATGATTTTCAATACTTCATATAATTTCATGAGGAAGAAAGGTCTAACTCAATCCAAAGAGGCCAGTTATTAACAGATTAAAATCACACATTGATTACTATTATGGATTTTTCTAGTTTCCTTCTTCAGTCAATACAATGCCTCTGTTCAGTACTTCAGATTCTTCAGGATGCTACAGACTGCTAATGAAGAATGACTGTTTAATTTAAAAAATAATTAATACAGGTCTAATTGCCTTTTACCATTGCACAGAACTGTTGCTGAAGCCAAATAAATGATCAGCTGTCCATCCACTGCATTAAGTACTCTCAGCTGGCAGCACTGCCTGAGGTGCAGTGATTTGAAGAGTCACGAGACATCACTCAGTGCTTTCATTAGCTCCATGCTTCCCGGGTGTTCATTGACCAAAGCACTGTGTTCGTGGAAGGAGCATTCTAGTAGTTGCTCTGTTGCTTCCTCCATTGCTTCTTTCTCAGAAATGTGGTTAATAAAGGAAACATTAATATTTCCAATGTGCATTTTTGTGTGCTGTTTAAGTCACCGTTCACCTGATTTCTTATTGCTGTCTGGTTAGATGAATCGTACCCAGGAATGCTTTCTCAGTTGCATTGTCACTAAAGGGAGTCTGGATAGCTTGTGTCTACAGGTGTGTACGATGTAGATGTTCACTTTGGGTCAACTGAATTCCCCAGGTTGCTGGGCACCCCTTCAATATAACGGACGGAAGACTCAGAAATCTCAAATGGTATTTTTTTCATTGCACCATTGTAGCAGTTCTTCACTTGAAGCATTGATTGCCACCCCCGAAGCCGTGGGCTGATGATCAAAGGCACTTCATTATAAAATTATCCTACACAACACATTTGCTTTCTCAATATCTGCATTTGTA